TCGACTTTCACCTCACACGTGATGCGCTTCGTCGGAGATTCTCATCTGTTTTCGCCGGCCGCAGTGACTGACAGAGAAAATTAGTGTATTTCCATTTATGTTTTTTTACATTCTGACCATGTTGCTTTGTTTTTTTTTCTGTGATTATTTGACATGTAATTTTACTATTATTATTATTATGATTAGTATTATTAACATCATTTGGGCTACAGCCAGCCTGTTGATGTATGGCAACAATAAACATATCGTCGGGCCATTTTCGACAGAGATGGCGCTGTTTCGCTGGAAGGAAGTTATAAAAATCCCCATATAGAAATTGATCCCCATATAGAAGTGGGAATAATTCGATTTCGGTGAATATTGAGGTCAAAAAAGTGAATAACAGGGCTGGTAGCGATCACTGATGTCAGAAATAGTGATTTTAGTGACCATGTTGAATAAATTAGTGACCAAATAGTGACTTATAGTTGTAAAAGTAGTGACTAAAAAGTGACCTAAGAGAAATAATGCATCAAATAAATGTTTTAGACTTATTCAATTATTATCTCATAAACCTTTGAAACGAAATGATTCAATAGAAAGTTTATAACCAAACCCACAGTATTAGTCATGGTGTCTACTAACTTCAAAAATCTGGAAAACCGGGAATCTTCAGGAAAATTTTTGTTTCCTTAAAATACGTGGAAGTCTCAGTTCCACGTATTCAGTTTCATAAAACTTCCCTTAAATTATCCACACTAATTTAAAACTTCTTCAATAGTCTAGACTTTCCTGGTGCCTAAACGATTACTGAATTTCTTTAAAGTTCTCTAGGCTGCCCTGAATTTATCAGTATTTTTTAAGAACCAGCAACTTAACTGAAATTTATTAATTTACCTTGCAGTTTCGAAATTGTTCTTTAAGTATTAAAACCATTATTAACACTCGTTGTTCCCTGAACTTATCTATGCTTACCTGAAGTTCTCTAAATTTGTTTAATAATCCAGCAAATTTTCTGATGTTTATTCATAATTCTCTGACGCTTCTGACATTTAATCATATAATTCTTGGAATACCCTATAATTCAATATAAGTCGCTGCAAATTTGCTTAAGTTAATGGGATTATTCTGAAGCTACTTGATCGTCTTTGAAATACTCGGAAATTCGCTGAATATCATTAAACTATATAAAAATATCCAAATTTAGTTCTCTGGAAATAATTGGAAATATCGCTGCTTGCTAAAAGTTCTCGCTTTTTTTAATTAATGGAACTTCGTTGATGTTCTTTAATAAAATTAGCTAAATTTTCGCTTTTTTAAGTTCTTCCAATCTCCATGATATAACACCCTTTAAATACTTTAACGTTTTCCGGTTGTTTATATCATTTTTATCACGTTCCAGAAGTTCTCTCGGAGCTTTGCTGAAGTTTCCGGAAATTCCCTGAGTCTCCGCAACTTCTTTAACGTTTCTACAATTTCCTTGAAATTATTTTAACTGCCCTTTTATTCTCTGATCTGTCCTGATGTTCTCGAAGCTTCCCTAAAGCTCTCAATTCTATTAAAAATCTCTGTTCTGCTGCTCGGAAATAAACGGCTTTCCCGTAAACAAATTTAAATATCCTTGAAATTATCTGGACGTCTGTAAAGTTCCTTAAAGTATTTCTGAAGTTTTCAAAAATTCACTGAAGGTCTCTGTACTTCCCTGAAATTCTGAGAACTTTTTCGATTATTTTTTTCAGCACATCATGAAACTATCCTAAATTTTTCTTAATTTCCGATTATGGATCTTTTAAAAATTTCCAGGAATTCTCTCGGAGTTTTGCTAAAAGTTTTCGGAAATTCACTGAGTTTCTCGAAACTTCCTTAAAATGTCTAATATTTCCTTGAAAATATTTGAACTGCCTTTTGATCCTCTGACCTGTTTTGATGTTCTCGAAGCTTCCATAAAGCTCTTAGTTCTATTGAAGATCTCGGTTCTGCTCGGAAATAAATAGAATTCCGGTAAACACCTTTAAATTTTCTTGAAATTCTCCGGACTTCTGTGAAGTTTCTGAAATATTTCTGAAGTTTTCATGAATGCTCTGAAGGTCTCTGTACTTTCCTGAAATTCTCGGAACATCTTAAGGGTTCTCGATTTCTTTTTCAGCACATCATGGAGCTATCTTGAATTTATCTAAATTTACGATTATAGATTTTTAATCTATCTAGCTTTTCTGAGGTGCTTAGAACTTCTTAAAAATTTGCACAATACCCCTAAACTTTTTTAAAATTTTTCAATTTCGCTTGACACCTGTGAAGATCACTGAAATTCTAGAAACTTCATAAAAATTTCTGAAAAGTCTCGGATGCAAAAAGAACCGCTTTGAGGTTCTTACAGCTTACAGTATATTTTCAACTTCCCTTATGTTCCTGCAGTTTGTTTATAGAGCTTCACTGAAATTCTCAGCATTTCCTTTCATTCCTCAAAACTTCTCCAAATTTCCTACAATTGTTGTAAAGTTAATGGGACTGCTTTGAAGATCTCTTATCTTTCATATACTTAATTACGAACTTGAAATAAATCATTGATTTTTTACTTAATTCTGGCACTTTGAATATATTCTCAATATCTTGAACTTATGCATGGAATACGAAACTTGAATATTTTTAGATCTGGGGCTTACTTACTTGGAAACCTCAGGTAATTTTATCCAAAAAAAATGAGTCGACACCTATATAAAGAGAAAGACAATTAAACGTCACAACGCAAAGAATAATCAATATTGAAATAAATTCACGCTAAAAAAATGCAAATAGTTACTTATTACAATAAAAAGTGACTTTAGTGACTTGGCTTTAAAAAAGATACTTTTTAGTGACTGACTTGAAAAAAAAAGACCAAGTCACTAAAAAGTGACTCGCTACCAGCTCTGGAATGACAACCTAAAGAAATTAGTCAGGGACTTTGTTGTTCAGTTTTTCCTCGGAAATTATTGCTTACCAAGCTACAAATAAATAAAAATGATTTTTACCCATACTGTTTTACCTGCTTTACTACCAATCCTCAATGAGCCAAAAAAATCATATATGAGAGAGAAAATTTGCTCGCACTAGTTCAATTTCTCAACATACCATGTATTTTGATTACACTCTATTTGTGATTTCCCTCTCACAGACTACAAAATAGAGAACCTGACTCTGCAAAACATGTCTGGTACCTCTATACATGCATTTTGATTAACATCCGAAGTCCCTACTTTTTTACATATTCTGCTTTCTGCATATTTCTTCTTTACATAATCATACTTTCTGCTCCGCCCCATTCATAGAAATCGGTGGGAAATCCTGTGAGTGATGAGCTATTTTGTGTTCCTTTTTTACGGAGGGACTTCGAAAGTTAATCTAAATGCATATATAGAGGTACCAGACTTAGTTTGCACTGCACTGTCCTCTGTGAACAATTAATGGAAAACAGATTATGTGTAGTTTCCGATAGATGTCACTTTCTACAACTGCAGTGATATCTGATGGAAAATGAATGCAAAAGCTTGACAAAATGATTAATTTTTACTTTTCAGTATATTCGAGTTCTGCATCCTTAGGGGCTGTTCATAAACTACGAAGACAGTTCAGGGGGTGGGGGTTGGCAATCATCCACGGTCAATACATTTTTTTTGCATGGAAAATTGTCTACGCATGGGGAGGGGGGGGGGGGGTCAAGAATCCCAAAAAACTGTCTAAGTAGTTAATGAACAGACCCTTGATGACACCCAACAATACTTAACACTTGCTCTACATATGATTTTAAAGCAAAGTGGCATTGTGATGTAAGCTATACATTTTCGGAGAATCAATGAAAAAAATATCACTGTTCCAACACATAAGTCACGCTACCATACGTAAGTGCAGAAACATTTTTTTAAACATCGTTCAGATCATATTCAACAGCAATAATTTTGATAGTTTTCGCAATCATTGCGCAATCATTCACGTCAAACAAAAGTATCTGCTTTCTGAACAATTAACTAATTGGGTTTATAGGGGGCGACCCCGGCGTAGTGGTTGGCATTCATACCTCTCACGCCAAAGTTACGAGTTTAAATCTCACTCCCAAGCGTAGTAGTAGTAAGCAGGTTGTAGTGGTAAGCGTGATTGCTTCTCACTTCAAACGGCATGGGTTCAATCCCAGTCTGCGCAACCGGGATTTTCTGAGGCTTAAAATCTCTAATTACGTCTTCCTTTGGAAGGGAAGTAAAGCCGTTGATTCATGGTCGATATGTAGGGTCCAGGTGTGGGAGCTGCCTCCCTGGCGTCAGTAGCATTGGTGCTCAGTACGGAAAACAAGATCGACGGAAAACAAATCAAAAAAAAAATCTCACCCCCGGACAAGTCACGAATGACGATTAGGCCGAAGTAACTTTTTACCCTATCTCCCGCCATCTGAAACTAACGGTACGAAATGAGTGCAATGTGGGTCCAATTGGTTGGTTCATCTCTTTCTTGCCAGCTTTTCAAAAGCCAAAATCCTTGTTGGCTTCCCTTTGTGCACGAGTGATTAATCCCATACTCGATCAGGGCAACCGATACGGGCATAAATTACGTTAAATTTTAATCAAATTCTTGCCAGGATTTACGAGCCAAACCACATTCACTGCCATGTATCTAGCTATCAGCAGCTGCACCTCCTCATTCATACACGGTACCTCCTATGCACATGTACAACAGCAAGCAGCATTGTTCGCGACTAAAAAGGATTAACGATTCGATTCCATCGTCGTCGTCGTCGTCGTAGCCGTCGTTCGTGTTTGTTGTAAATCGAGGCCAGAAGGTTTCTGGAGCACCATCCCCAACTCAAGCTCATGCATACCGAGATAGTTCCTCCTGCTGCAAGCTTGTATTGATGTTGCCGAAGGCGGCAGGGCTAGAGCAAATAAAAATTTATGGGGGTGTATCTTGCGATAAATTCAGACCGAAGTCATGTTTAGCGCGAATTTAATGGAATTACAATTATTTACTATCCGTGCGTCGTTTATGTTTTCCAGGTACCGGATCCAGCAGAGCAGCTTCGACGATTTTGCCATCGACAACCAGACGGGCGTGGTGACCATCGCTCGCAAGCTGGACTACGACCGACGGAACACGTATCAGATGGAGATTGTCGCTGCGGATCTGGGCACGCCGAGCCTCTCCGGAACGACCACCCTGACGGTGAGCATAATCAATAGCAACGACAAGGCACCGTACTTCACGCCGACCACTCAACGGGCGGAAGTCTCCGAGGATGCCCCGGTGGGAACGCTGGTTCATACGCTGGTGGCGCTGGATCCGGATGTGGCGTCCAGTGAAGCGTTGGATTATGCGGCGACGGAACCCATCACGGCGGTCGACAAGAACGGTAAAGAGGTACGCGAGATGGAAGATTTTAAGGACATGTTCCGGATCGATCGAACCGGCAAGGTGTTTGTCAACAAGAAGTTGCAGCGGGACGATTTTGCGGTGAGTTTAGTGGATGAGGGCAGAATATCGTTCGAAGGTACTAAATGTGTGCAATTGCATTTTCATGGTTGCAGGTGGTGCGCATCACAGTGCTGGTAACGGACACGACCGCCCCGTCCATTCAGCAGGGCGAAGGGCTACTCATAATCACAATCATCGACGTGAACGAGGAATCACCGGTAAGTTTGCTTTTTCACATTTTCCGCACCGTCAGTTGCAGACGTCGGTATCCACTTCAAACAGTAATAATAAGACAGGCAATTTCAACCCGCTCCCCCCAACCTTCTGCCGCACGATACGGGATTCTGAGTCTTGGGAGGTGGGAGGTAAGGATACCTTTCGAAGTTGGAGCTTCAATTTTCTGCCAGGTTGGCTCATACTCTTCTCCTTCAGTTCGCTCGAGTGAGTTTACCGCTGTATGGCTTACGAGGACGACCCGAAGCCAAGGGGGGTAGGAATCGTACTAGCGCCACTGTGTGCATCCAAGGATGAAATTCAATATGAATATTAATAATTGTTTGAGCGGATTTGCCACTGGCCGTGAGTGCCACTATCCCCACCCGGTGGTATGTAGTGCATGTGTTGTGCATGTAGACATTATTCAACGGAAGGATCCGTTCCGAGTCGAGCCCGCTCCGAAGGCCTCGGGCAAGATTTTCATTATAATAATTTCCATTCGGTTGAAGCCAATGGGAATCCGCTTTCTAATGCACAACCCGAGTGGAAATGGTTTCCTATGCTTCACAACGTAACTGGATGTTGGCTTTCATTGTGGGCCATTGATTTTGTATCGGGAATACCACTAGTTCTGGTTTGTGGCGAGTGCTAGCGATTAGATTAGGGTAAATGGTTTAATTGTCGGCCTATTATGGGCATTTTAGAACCGATTAAGTACTCTCATAATTAACGGGACCCCATTGTGCCAAACAGACATTGGATCCCATCCGGATTGAGGAATGATGAGCGTGATTACCTTTAAATAGCCATCGCGCGTGAGAATCAGAATGGCAGCCGCTCGCAGTTATCATCATGACCAGCATTCGTGGCCAAGATGGTGGAACTAGTCGTAATCATTTATGCATTCCTGGGGGGGAAAGTTGTTGGTGCTTCGTAGCCAAAGGGACGCTGTCGGATGGGAGCCAGAATAGATTTAATTGAAGTGCAAATAGCCTTCCGGCGTTGCGCTACTAATACCTTTGGACGTTGTGCGTGGCGTCTTCTTGGAGAATATCGTTCTGGTCGTTATGAGGAAGCAGGCTTCCTGGGAGCTCCTTGTTATCGGTAATTTGATAAGTTTCATAGCTGATTTTGAGTTTATAAAATTCTTGTAATTTAAGTAGTGATTGATTCAATTTTACAAGATGCAAGACGGTGATAAATTCCGTATGATAAACAGAAATTTGCCATAACATCGGAATCGGTGAATTAATCAAACGTCCGGAACAAAATGATAACCCTATTCAAAGTGGAATTTCTTTGGGTATTGCAATAAAGTTTCCTCCAGAATGCCACCGTGATTATCCTAAAAATTAATACCATGAGGTTGTTTATGATTGAAGTGACAGATTTGTCATTTATTTATTTATTTATTTATTTATTTAATTTGTTTTTCTTCATCGGACTTAACGTGTCTAAATGAAGCCTGATGGGGAAAAGCCTAGAAAAGGCGTAAAAACCCCATATCTTTTCGAAATACATGAATCACAATAATACAATACAATTACAACGAATCAAGTCTATAGCATAAAAAAAAGTTATCCTCCTATGGCATAGAGTTGCCCGTGAATCAGGTAGAAGTCCTCATCCTTTCTCTGGAGTCTGCGTTGAATACGGTGACGAAAGGTTTCCGCTGCACATTTAAAGTCGAAAAACTCGTAAAACTCGTTGAAACGCCCAGACATGAACCGTATTGGTTCGTAGTTCGCAGCACGAGTTCCAAGATGCAGGAAACTCCTCGACGGAAGAACTCGTTCGGGTGTGTAGATTTCGAATTCAGCCAAGATTCCTGGATATCACCAATAAGTACTTTCGCTGCGAACACGACCTGACTAATCGTCCGCCTATGTTCTAGTGTTTCAAGACCCAGGAGTTGACAACGATCTTCGTACGGCGAAAGGTTCACAGGGTCATTCCAAGGAAGGTGACGAAAGGCATACCGAACAAATTTCCTTTGAACAGATTCAATCCTCGCTATCCAAACTGCTTGATACGGGCACCATACTACCTAGTTGAATTCCAAGATCGATCGCACTAGAGAGCTTTTAGACAGGCAGGATCGCGAAACTCGTTAGCGATCTTGAAAATGAACCCGAGTTGCCTGTTGGCTTTCGCAACGATGCCCGAGTAATTTGCAACGATGCCACGCGATTTGGTACTATTCTGGTGGTTGCGGTCGTTTCGAAATACCGTGAATAGACTGCCAAATACTTGAGATGGATTAATGCGGTCATCGAGCCAGGTTTCCGTAAACACTATGACATCGTAGTCAGAGTCAACGGCAGTCAGGAAAAAATCATCAATCTTGGTTCGCAGGCCACGAACGTTCTGGGAATACACCAACAGGCGGTCGAACGAAGTCGGTTGGAGGTCGAAACGAACATGGTGGTACTCTGGAACACAGAGACGGATCAGGAGAAGAACTGTTTTCAACAAACGCATACTTGCCTGATGTAGAAGGTTGGAAGACCCCTTCACCATACTCAACCACAGGGCCAGAACGACTACGATGACAGGAATCAGCAAGCGCGATTGGGTTGAGTGGTTCAGGGGCTTCCTTGAGGCAGCAGGCAGCGCATTCTGGTCTGGGATGTTCCGAAACATGGCGAGCAAGATCCGGTGCAGTGCTGTATGTCCCATCGGTGATGTGGGATTTGAAGCCATCGGAGTATGACGTTTCAGTCGAACCAGCCGGTTGTTGCTCTTGAGGCGGTGAGGCGCTGTAAGCAACGGACGAATCAGGGGCGGAACTGGTGATGACACGAACATACTTGCCTTGAGTTGCGGGTTGGAAGACCCCTTCTCCAAGCCCACACACAGGTCCAGGACGACTGCAGGACGATGGCTGGATTAACTCGACTGTGGCTTCCGCAGTGCTAACTTCAATGCGTCCCAGAGTGTTCAGGTGACAGGCGGGTATAGTTGATGGTTGGTAAAGCGCTAGAACCAATGGACGAATCAGGAGCGGGACTGATCATGACACGATCATACTTGCCTTGAATTGTAGGTTGGAAGACCCCTTCTCCAAGCCCACACACAGGTCCGGGACGACTGCAGGACGATGACTGGAATGACTCGACTGTGGCGGGAGAAGAAACCATGACATTTCGCAGGCAGAAAACGTTATGGTTGTGGAACATTTTCCAATTCCCTCATTTCGAAGTTCACTTGAAACGAAATCGATCAGTTTACAGCTCCAGTGAAGTGAAAATCTGACGGGGTTGCTCTTTCTCTAATCATCAACTTTTTGCTTAGCTGCGATTTTTTTTCACGAGCAGCTGCACGCGTGAATACACCAAATGGAATTTACAGTTCCAAGCGAATATGCTTCGATGTCTATACATACCTTAAGTGTACAAGTATGATCATACGAGGAACGAGTTGCAGGCGTGTAAGTAGTAATATTTACGTTTATTTTCTGTTTTTTATGTTTCAACATTTGATTTAACATTTCAATCGATTAGCCTTTGGCTCTTCATCTTTGTTCTAGTTAATTGGTTATTCTAATGTGATGATTGTGGACGAGGCTCGGTAGCTCAGTGGTTACCGTTTCTGCTTACTGAGCAGAAGGTCGGGAGTTCAATCTCAGGCCCGTCCCCCTTCCTTGCAATTTTTCACTTTGCCTTATTCTATACCCACTAGATTTTAATGAAACAAATTCTTCTTTAACACCGATCGCATCACTTACCACAGTGTGGGTTCTGATCTAAAAATAGAAATTGGATGAGTGCGCGCGCGTGTGTGTGTGTGTGTGTTTGTGTATTATAATCGCTCTACCAAAAAACGATCCCTGCGTGTGCGTGCAACCTTTCCCCACATCCAACATCCCAGTGATTTCTCGTGGAAGCGCAGAGGATTTCTCGGTTTCCTTCACAGCGAGTAACACGTCAACACATTCCTTCCCATTCCCTAGTTGACCTGCATTCGGACACGGCCGGCGCTGGTATTGCTAAATATTAGATCTCCAGTTCTTACACATTGAGGATGAATGTTAGTCCCAAACATTATCTGTTGGTTCTCTGTGTAATTGCAGCTGATCTGGTAATAACAGAGCAGCAACCGTGGGCGGTCAATCTGATCTGATCTGATCTGATATTCTAATGTGATGATTGCGTTTAGCGCTAATTTACAGGATACTCTTTGTGGGATTGTTTTGGTTTGAATTTAAAAATTTGATAACCTACCTACTTAAGCACAGGAACCTGCCTAACTACTTAAACTAGGTTTCCAAATCATGAATGATCTGGTGGTTTGATCGCAGACAGGCGACTCTGAACCTTTCCAGCGTGAAAGTCTTTCGCTCCTCGATTGTTTGAAGACCGGCCAGGTGGTGAATCTCAGGATTACGAGTTCGCGGTGGACTGTTAAGGATCATTGTGAGGATCTTGTTTTGGATCCTCTGAAGCTTTACGTGGTGACACTTAGCACAACTCTCCCAGATTGGCATACCATACTCAATAGCCGGCTGAATGATCTGCTTGTGGACAGCAAGCTTGTTTTTCAGGGACAGGGTGGATTTCCTGTTTATCAGAGAGTAGAGCGACCTGATCAAGATTTTACACTTGGTGGATGTCTTGTCCACATGGGATCGGAATAGCAATTTCCTATTGAGGGTGAGACCAAAGTAGGCTACTATACTTCACTCGACCATTCAATGGGAGTGTTATCAAGATGGACCATGACATTAGCAGGCTGTGTTTTGTATTTCAGCTGCATTGATACAAATTTTCCAGCTCTTGAAATAGTCGGACAGAACATCCTGGACCAGGTCTGATTGTAGTTTACTCGCCAGAGCACGGATCACTCGACCCTTATAGATGATGGAGGTGTCATCTGCGAGCATTGACAGATTACCACCACCTGGCAGAGGAGGAACGTCTGACGTGAAGATGTTGAATAGGATAGGTCCATGCAGGCTACCCTGAGGGATCCCTACATCAACGTTGAACTTATCAGAGGGGAT